TGAAGAAACAAAGTCACCTACATCTTGAATGCCCTGGGGGTAAGCAGAGAAACATCAAATTTTAATTTTTGGGTGAACTATCCCTTTAAGTTCTTGCACTGACCTTGAATTTAAGTTGCAGTAGCACTCCCCATACACTAGAGGAATCACAGTGAGGCTTCACTTGGGGCATGACAAACCAAAGAATTACAATTTAGTCTTGGCTTTATTTTCAGCTCAAGTTCCCAAGAGTATAGTGACATTTTCATTAAATACAACGATACACGACAAGGCAGTTGACTCCATAAGCAAGAGAGAGAAGAAAATGGTATGACAGAAACTGGACACTGTGTGGATGCAGCCGAACCACATCCATATTGTTTAATACGGAGTCAATCCACCGTACCTGCAAAAAAAAAAAAAAGAAACGTGAGATTAAGATGAAATTACCAAGCATGCAAAGGTAACCTACAATCCAAGCACTGGCTTAAAAGACAGGATGCGCATACCATATAACTTGCTTCTATTCATACACGTCTTTTTTATCTGAAATGAACTGTACGATCTCTGCAGGAGTCATAAGCTTCTCGGCCTCTGCATCTGGGATCTCAAATCCTGTGGATTGAACAATGTGTTTGAGCGCCACAATTCAAATGAAATGTTTAGAAGGTATATCACAGTTGTCAAATGCTTTAATGGTACAGGAACAAACCCATACTAACCAAACTCATCTTCCATAGCCATTATAATCTCCACCTGGTCCAAGCTATCCAGCCCCAGATCTTTCATGAAATGAGACGATGTTTGCAGCTTGAGGAGGGAAAAAGTTTCAGAGATTGATGCTAGGGGTATGTATTCTACAATATCTCAATGTAAACAAAGCAGCTTGTCTAACTACAAAAAACTACATTTGTTTAATAACACTAAAAATACTTCTAAAGCATTTATTAATCTTAGTTAATTTCAACATTTATACTTAATATATGAAAATAAGTCGTATCTGTTAATTTAATGGACCTGAGCGAACATGAACAATGAACAGTTGTATTTTTATTAAGGTTCACAAAAAGCAATAAATACTGTAACAAATGTAATGCTCATTTTTAGAGTTAATGCATGGACTATTGGAAAATTGTTGTAAAGTGTTACACCAAAGAAATGTATTAAAATATGGTGGGTAGGCAATAGGCATGCAGTTTCCAGGTAACAGAAATTGCACATCATTGTCCTTCAAATTTCGGTATTTGAAGATTATCATATACAAAACGACCTATGCAGTGTTACAGTACAGAGGGTAAGTATGGAGTATCTCTCACCTTCTCTGGACTGATCTTGTCATACAGTTTAAGGACGTACATGACACGCTCTTCGATGTTCTCTAAAGTGAGGGGTGGAAGATCCCCATAGTGCCGACACTGTTGAACAGACGGGCCTGAAATCTAGAGGCATCCAAACATTTACATTTATTCACTGATATATCAGATGCTTTATCCAAAATTAGAAGAACATAAGCAATTCATCCCAGAGCCAACTATATTCACTGCAGTGCACACAATACCAGCTTTATTAGAAGAAAGGTAATTAGGGAAAAAACATAAGCTCTGCCAAATGAAGACATAATTCGCCCAAAATTGTCTTTATTATTTTTTTTTCCCCCTCAGTAACAAACGACAGATGTTGGACAGAATGTTAGAGACTGGTGGATTCGGTCACCGTTCGGTTGCACCTTCCATACAGTCAAATGAAGTGGCTGTCATTCTGCCCAACATCTTTTGTGTTCCACAGAGGGACTTGGAACGTCACGACGACAGAATTATTATTATTAAAGTGAACCGTCACTTTAATAATAGCTACAATAAAAGACGCAAAGAGCAGCAACCGTGAAGATACACACACAGTATGTATAAACTATTAGCGTGACTGATCAGCTATTTAAAGTCTTGCCCCTTGAAAACAGTAATAACTGATGTGGATGGTGTATGTTGTGAATGCACACTAAGTTACTTTAACTTTGTATGGCTCCCAGCTGTCACGCACGAATAGATTTGTCGGAAAGACACAGGTAGGTCACGGAGTAATCCAGCACTAGTAGGCCACACAGACAAACATCCCCCTCTGCAGAAAGCTCACCCGCACTGGTTGAGTCCACCTCGTCCGCTGGCTGCATGACAGGACAGAGAGCGGTCGCTGCTCTGAGGCGAGGGGCGCGCAGGCGGATCTGGTGAGCACGCTGCCATGATTTAACCTTGCAGCGGCGCGAGCGACGGAGCGCACACAGTATGCAAGCGCACGAGACCCCATGTCTGTGAATTTCTATCCCACAATTCACTGCGACAAACTGGACATAAGTTTGACATGCGCGTGCGCACTTTGTCAGGGCAGGTCCAGCTGTTTCTTCTTCTTCTTTGGTGTTTATTGGCGGTTGGCAAACCAACTTGTAAGTGCATTACCGCCACTGACTGGACTGGAGTGTGGAACAGAACACGTGCTTATGGGATTGACACAATAGATCAGAATCAGAATCAGAATGAGCTTTATTGCCAGGTATGTTTACACATACGAGGAATTTGTTTTCGTGACAGAAGCTTCCACAGTGCAACAGAATGACAGTGACAGAACAAAAAAACACAGATAATAACAAAAATAAAAATAAATAGAACAAGTAAATAAGGAATAAAAATATACAAATCGACAATTGTATGTACAGGTATATAACAATAAACAGTTGTATACAGGTATATTATGTGCAAACTGAAATGTAGACTGACCAGGAACCTGAATGACTCCACTGCAGTCACAGTGCTGTCCATGGTGGTGAGTGGGGGGAGTTTCTCCAGAAGTCCATGATCATCTCCACAGTTTTGAGCGTGTTGAGCTCCAAGTTGTTGAGACTGCACCAGACAGCCAGCTGCTCGACCTCCTGTCTGTAAGCAGACTCATCACCGTCCTGAATGAGGCCGATGAGTGTGGTGTCGTCTGCAAACTTCAGGAGCTTGACAGAGGGGTCTTTAGAGGTGCAGTAATTGGTGTACAGGGAGCGGACACAGCCCCGAGGAGCTCCAATGCTGATGGTGAGGGTGTTGGATGTGAGTTTCAATGATCTGGCTGGTTTAGGTCCGGCTGGTTTCGGCGAATCGTTTCTTTTGAACAGTTCGTTCAAAACTGAAGGCATCAAATTGATTGAAAAGTTCCGACTTAAACGAATGGTTCATTCGCGATTCATGCATTGCTATTAAAAGAACGTTTTGCGAGTCGGTTCTTTCGAACAGTTCGTTTCAAATAATCTGCTTGAAAATGAAACCGAATAGAGTGAACAAATCCAATTCATTGAAAAGATCCGACTCAAAAGAACGACTATTTCACAAATCAGAATTAGAAAAACGTTTAACTATTTTACTCTTTTATAATTTATATTATTTCTTAAGTTATATTTAACTGATTCCTTTTGAATTAGACCATTTAATTATTAGACATTTAATAAGACCATTTGGAATACTCGTGCAAAATAGTTGAAATAATGAGGCTTTTATTTTGAAACGACTATATCTGCCAGTTACGCATGGGATCTTACAGAAATGGTCTATCAAAGTAAATTTATTTAATCTACGCTGTTAGCTAGAAACAAAAAGCAGTCAATGTAATAACTTTTTGCACGACCATTGAATAAACTGTGTGCGATCTAATGCTTCCTCTAAAGGAGAAGGTTTGCTCTGCGCAGAGGAAAGAAAAACAGAAGACGACGTAAATAATCAACAATGCTGCACAAAATCAGGGGTCAATAACAATACAAGTACAGCGGTAACAAGACAAACTACAGCATGTGCCAACTGTGCCTTTTAATTGTCAGTCTTTATTAGTCATTATATATTACTTAAATGTGTTTCAAATACTGTCACAAAACTTCTTGATGTGCCACACAGAATAACACTGGTCTTGCTTTGCACGAAAAGGGGAGCATGGAGCCTGCGAGCCTGGAGAACTTGTGTGTTTTGTACCACAGCGCAAACTATATAGTTGTCAACAAACACTGGGATATTCGTATTGACAGCAAGATGTGGTATGAGAAACAGACTGTCCAGAGTCGGCTGAAGCATCGCTTCCCAGAGCTTGCAGATCCTGGCACCTACTACGGCTTCAGGTCTTTTTCTCAGGTTTTCTGTTACTCTGCTATGTGCTGAGACAAACAATTATTTCAAGAAGCACATGCATCTTATCAGTAATCCATTCGTATGTATTCTGATATTCTGCAGGTTTTGCCATCAACTGGATTTCTCTACCAGTGGTGCTTTGTGTGTAGCACTGAACAAGGCAGCAGCAGGGCATGCATACCGCTGTTTTAAGGACAGACTTGTTACCAAAGCTTATCTCGCTCTGGTACTGTAAAATTCAGACATTCATTGGATGAATAAAAGGTTTTTCATAATAATATAGGCCATTTATATTTCCTGTGCAGGTCCGTGGCACTGTTGCTGAGGAGAAAATTACCCTGGACTTTGCGATCGGCAAGAACACAACAGAGGGCAAAACCCACATGATGTGTACTGAAGGAACAGATGGCCAGAATCTCTTTAGCTGTAAATCAAACTCAAATGTTAAAAATAGTTCACCAAAAAATGAAATTTGCTGACAATTTACTCACCCTCGGGCCATTTGGAAAAAATTTGCATTACATGACTTGCTCACCAGTGGATCCTCTGCAGTGAATGGGTGCCGTCAGAATGAGAGTCCAAACAGCTGATAAAAATGTCACAATAATCCACAGAACTCCAGCCCATCAATTAATGTCTTGTGAAGTGAAAAGCTTTGTAAGCAACAAATCCATTATTAAGGCGGTTTAACTTTAAACAGTCACTTCTGGCCAAAATAATCCATAATAATGCTTCCTTCAGTGGAAAAAGTTAATCCCCTCTTCTTCTCGCAACGTCAATAATCCACTGACATATTTGTTTAAAACTGTTCTGGACTGTTTTTGCATGTAAACAGTGCTTGATCTGTGTATATTGCTCTCCTGATTCAGACATTAATTTTTTCCACTGGAGAAAGCAATATTATGGCTAGAGGACTCATATTTTAGCTGGAAGATAAAAATGTCTTAATCATAAATTTGTTTCTTACAAACACGCAGCTTTTCATTCCACAAGATGTTAATTGATGGACTGGAGTCACTTTTTATCAGCTGTTTGGACTCTCATTCTGACGGCACCCATTCACTGCAGAGGATCAAGAGATATAATGCTATTATATTATAATATTATTTTATAATTTGTCCAATTCTGTTCTGATGAAGAAACAAACTCATCTACATCTTGTATAGCCTAAGGGTGAGTAGGTTTTCATTTTTGGATGTACTGTTAGAAACTAATAGAAATGCATTCATGCATCAATTTCATATTGTGTGCGGTAGGTTGTGAGAATCCTAAGCCCTGCCAAACAGAGCTGACAGTTTTAGAGCATGGAGAATATGATGGAGATCCAGTCACAAAAGTGCTTCTGCAACCTCTGACAGGTACAGTATCATCAACAATGCAGACAAAATATAGATGAAAAACAATGTCAAATGGAAAAAGTCTAAGTATCAATAATCCTGTAAGACGGACGCACCAGCTCCGAGTTCACTGCAGTGCCATTGGTCACCCCATAGTGGGAGACTACACTTACAGTCTACACACAGACAATACTCCGTATCGCATGATGCTGCATGCCTACTTCTTGCACATCACACTAGAGAGTGAACCCATCCACGTCACAGCCCCAGATCCCTTTGTACCCACCCTCGACTCCAAATGGGCACCACAAAGATGTGTGAATGTTCTGGAGGACCTACTGAAGAATATTTTTACAAAACCACAAACTGAAATCCAAGAAGATCCAGAGCCACAGGAGCACAGGAGGAGCAGCCCAGTGGAGAGCGAGGAGCAACAGGCACAGTGTCAGCAGTGGTTATGTGAATGGAGTCTGGACTGAGGAACTCTTACGCTGTTTTACCAGTCCAATACTGAAGCTACACTGCAGTGTCCCCAGCTCCATAGAGTACCCTTTTCTTTAAATGGTAGTGATTGAACAATGGACCTAATTTGAACAAAAAATATCAAAAGAAAAGGAATAGCATGTCATTAGAGTGCAGTGAGAAATAACTTTTTAAAACTCCTCCTCCCAATTAAGTATCTTTACCTCTTTCAAATGCAAGTATGCTATGTGTAGAAGTGGTATTGTTCATTGTATGAATGCATAACTATGGTTTTAGCTTTTGTGCTTTTATAGCAATAGAGATTTTAAATCTCTATTTTTCATCTATTTATTATTACTTTTTTGTTTTGATCAGTTTTTGTTGCAGTCCAGAAGGGGCCAAGACGCACCATTTTTTCCACTACTTAAACAGGCAAGTTACAGTATGAAAGGTCTTCTTGATTTCTGTACTTAAACTATGTGAAGCATGTTTATAGAAATTCATTGCTTCATATAAACTGAACAATCCCTACCTCAAAAACTGTTGCTTAAAGGGATAGTTCACCCAAAAATGAAAATGTGATGTTTATCTGCTTACCCACAGGTCATCCAAGATGTAGGTGACTTTGTTTCTTCAGTAGAACACAAACAAAGATTTTTAACTCAAACCGTTGCAGTCTGTCAGTCTTATAATGGAGGTGAATGGGAATCACGGCTTTGAGAGTCAAAAAAAACATACACAAACAAAACCAAATTAAACCCTGTGGCTCGTGACGATACATTGATGTGTAAAGACACAAAACGATCGGTCTGTGCAAGAAACTGAACAGTATTTATATAGTTTTTTTTACCTCTGATTCACGCGATGTCTGAACTGTTCGAACTGTCCTGAGCGGCGGCACGTCCTCCTGAGCGCGTTCTCAACAGCCGGTGCGTGAGGCGTCGTAGTCTTCTTGCTTTACGGCGGATCTCAAATGGACCATTGACACTCTACCTACAATCTCAATTAGGAGTGTCAATGGTCCATTTGAGAGATAGGTGGCAGTAATGCACTTATAAGTCTGCGATCCGCCGTAAAGCAAGAAGAAGACGACGCTGTCAGGCGCCGGCTGTTGAGAACACGCTCAGGTCAGTTCGGACATTGTGGTGAATCAGAGGTAAAAAAAACGATATAAATACTGTTCAGTTTCTTGCACAGACCGATCGTTTTGTGTCTTTACACATCAATGTATCATTACAAGCCTCAGGGTTTAATTTGGTTTTGTTTGTGTATTCTCTCAAAGCCGTGATTCCCATTCACTTCCATTATAAGACTGACAGACTGCAACGGTTTGAGTTAAAAATCTTTGTTTGTGTTCTACTGAAGAAACAAAGTCACCTACATCTTGGATGCCCTGGGGGTAAGCAGATAAACATCAAATTTTCATTTTTGGGTGAACTATCCCTTTAAGCAATTTAAATTCAAGTATGTAATTGAACGAGTCCATCTACGGAGTATTTTTTGCATGTCATCCTGTTTCCATGCGCTGTTAGATAATATTTGTAAGACATTTACTATTGTTCAGCAAATGTTCACAGGCAAAGTCCATTTAAATAGGAATTCACGTGATCGGAATTTTCAGCTGAGGATGAAAAATGTCTTCATGCAGATTCACACATGGATTCACCGTTTTGACCAACAGAAAGCTGCTTGATTTGAATGTGAGCTATGCTTCATACGTTGCTACACTATTAACAATAGACAATGATCCTTTATTGCCCACCAAAATTTCACTAATGTGACTGCACCTTACAAAAGGAGCGCGTTGTTTGGTAAAAGCCCCCAAAACCATCATTTAAAACGAGTCAGTATAGACACTTTTTTTTTCTTTACAAAAAAAGCATTTAATTATTACCATCTGTAATCTGTCTATACAAACAGAAAATGTTTAGTGTTGCAGAAATGGTAAAGTTTAATAAATAAAGGCCCTTCAGTCTAACAGCTAATCACTGTGTTGTGATATTTTTCTCAGCCACGCCAATAGGACTGCAATGTACACTGACATTATATGAAACATTAACAGAAATCTAAAAATACTGGGGGAAAAAACTGGTGTTCTGCGAACAAGTCACATATTTTATCATTTCATTTTCTATGTTAACATTGCCATGATAGCAAGGGATTTTTACTGCAAGTGGATACAACTGTGAACAAAACTGACTGTGAAAAAAGGTATTTCTTTGTTGTTCGAGATTTACAACTGTAACTTAGAGCTAAAGAGATGATTGGGGAATATTAGTCCACATTGGTTCCTTTGGTCCCAGAATGAAAGTGAGCAAGACCCAAACTAAAGTTCAGTCCTAGATCTGGCTGAGAGGGAGGAATTTCTGGTAGTAACTCTTGGTAACGTCTATCATCAGTTCCTGTGTACATTCAGGGAGCTCTCCTGAAAATAGACCTGAAATATAGAACAACAAAAAATGCTTAGGCTCTGTTTATATGCACAGAGTGACATTAATTCAAAAAACACTTTACTACAAAATATACAACACTTACAGTAAATAAAATAATATATCTGAAGGTGCCAACCTGGACAGCCAGAGAATACTGTAAACGGAGGAACCACTGTCTCTGGGGGAAGGACAGTATTATCCAGTATCTTACAGCAGTCCTTCAAGACACAGCGCCGACCCTAAAAAAAAAGACATGCATCGCAATTAAGCACCACCAGGTAAAAATGTTGGATAATGGGAGGATAGAGACAAAGGAGCTACTTACAATAACGCAGTTCTTGCCAATGTGGACGTATGATCCTATCTGTGCAGCATTGACAACACAGTCCTCCTCTATGAACACATGATCCCCAATATGCAATGGGAAGAAAGCCACGCTGATGTACACAGCACAAGAAAAGTTCAATCATACAAACAGTATCAGTGAGAAAACAGATGTTTTACATTAAACCAGCAGCACTGCTCACCCTTTGCTGAATTTCTTGAACGGAGGTCTGATCACACTACGACTTTTAATGACACAGTGGCGCCCAACTCTGACATTAGCGAGATCTCCTCTGATGATACAGTCATTCATCACGATGGTCTGAAAAAAGAGGCCATTTCACATAGTTATCACATAGCTGGGGAAAAGAACAAGAAGAAATAAAGAAGAGAAAACTCACTTTTCCATTGAGAACAATGTTTTGACTGCCACAAAGAACTGATTGTCTGCTGACTTTGTTGCCTGATGCCTAGAGAAATCAAATGTGAACGTTGCCATCACATGACGGTCCAGCTCTGGGCTGCTGTGAGCATTTAATAAACACCGTGTGCAAACGATGCAGACGTTTACTGTCTAGCAAGCTATGACAAACTAACACTTGTGCTGGAGAATCATCTTTGTTTATAATACTGGTCCTCATTTGTGAGACGCTTTGGATAAAAGCGTCTGCTAAATGACCAAATGTAAATAATACGATACACATTCGGTTTGCAGAGACATACTAGTCGGGTCAGATCATTGTCAAGTTATTACTAGCAACCGCTTGATTTCAGCTGACGGATATTATCGATTTTATTAACATACCGTCTCGATGTATTCAGCCTTGTTGTATAATATTTCACACAGCTCCATCTCTGCACAATTATTGTTGTTTTGCTGGCGAACCACTTCAGACGACCAGCAGCTCTCAACCGCTCCCTCGCAATTTCCGCTTCCGGTTAGTACCAAGACGACATCACTTGCAGAACATAGTACAAAATTGTATTTATTATTTATATATA